GTAGAACTATCCCTGTGGGTTTCCAAGATTATAGCTCTATGGGAGTAGAAAGCCTCGTCTTTCTCCTGTGAGCAGCTGGTGTTTTGAACCGCAGGCCTTGCAGTTGGCAGCTCAATGTGTAACAACTATGCCAACAGGGCTCCTTGATTCTTTGAACAACGGACCCCATGTTTTCATTTTTCACATGGTCCTGAGAATTCTGTATCCGGCTCTGATGGGAGGCAAGACATAAACCTAGTCCAGGTAGACCAAAGTACAGCGAGAAGGTGAGGGCCTTAAGAGGCCTTGTGACTTGCTTAAGTTCCCCTATCAGACAAGAAATGAATCATGGATTCCTGTAACTCTGAAACCTGCCCTCTCTTAGACCTGGACCTTTCTCCAGGTAAGGACAGAAGATGGGCTCTCTACACTGGAGTGGTCACAGGGGCTTCCTGCTGAAGATGGGTCTTAAGCTGGGCTGTATGGGACATGGACCTGTGAGAAGGAACGATGCGACCACTCTGCCTGGGGTGACAGCAGAAGCCAAGGGGTCTGAACTGGGGGAATCAGTGGCCTTAAGGAGACTCCTTTCCAGAAGCCTGGATCGTCGCAGGCTTATCTTTATGTTCATGTGTTTAGTCACAATTAGCAGGGGGAAAAATGAGTTGAAATGATCTCACCAAGTACCTACAGGTTTCTATGCACTGAGCTCCAGATTTGTATGGATCAAATCCTTCACTGACAGCCTCTTGAAAGGTCCCTCTCTCTCCGCCGGTCAGAGGATCGTTTCTTTCGCACACACCCATGTTACAAATCTCCTGAGCTCTGCCCAGTAAATTAATATTTTAGTTGGTGGTCATGGGTGTTTCCTCTAAAAAGGCAAACATTAATTATTACTGTGTTTTTGTAACGGACACACCTTTATATCTGATCTCTTCTCTCTAGAGAGGCACGTCTAAGAAGAAGGTCTATAAACATGTATGTGTATCTCGTTTAATCACAATTAGCCAGAGAAGGTATAAATAAACGTAGGTCAGACATACCAAAAGGAAAGTAAGAAAACCAGGAAGATTCGAGAGACGTTCTGAGAAATTGTCCGCTCCTCAATTTGAGGAATGCATCCCAACTGAGTAGAATCCTATTTTGTGGATCAGGGTTTCCGTTGAGAGCATCATTTACCGAGCCCTGATGATGTGGCAGGAACTATGTTAGACGTGAGGGGTACGCCTTCCATCGCAAGAAACCCACCACCGGGAAGATGGCCCCAGGAGGCCACCACACATCACTGATAGGTACATGGCATCTGATGACTTGCTAACCAGCAAAGGGGAGTGACTTTTCTCTAAGATGCTTCCTCGTCAGGCAGATCTGTACAGGCAAAGATGCTCAACATCATGCTCATTACGGAGCATGATCTGTACAGGCAGATCTGTACAGGCAAAGATGCTCAACATCATGCTCATTACGGAAATGCATGCTCCCACACAACGTGATACCACGATACACCCAATTAGAATGGCGACAAGAACAAACAAACAAACAAACAGAAGAATACCGAGAATTTCAAGTGTTAGCAAGGATGAAAAATAACTGGGCCAATGATACCTTGCTCGTGGCAATGGAAGGTGAGGCAGCTGGTTGGAAAGCAGTTTGGCAGTGTCCAATACCATACAGCAAGTGCACTTACCATATGGCCCAGCAAGTCCACTCACAGGCACGTGCACCTGCCTCTTGGTCTATGGACAGGTTGACATGCGCACATCAAACCCTACTAACAAATATTAAAGTGGTTTTATTTGTAATAATCAAAAACTGAAAATAACCCAAGTGCCTTTTAACTAGTGCCTCTACAGATAGTGTGTCACTCCAGCAATTCTCTTCTTCCCCGTGCTTTGTCCAACTGTCACGGGCATATGGGACAATCAAGGACACCAGGGCTTGGATCAGGCTCACTTTAGTCCTCCAAGCGACATCTTTCTTGGTTTTCACATGTAAAGAGGTCTTTTGCAGCAGATTCTCCTAACACAATAAAATTGATTTCTTGACTGCTGCTATCGGATGATTGATGTCAATGTGGGTGTCAGATGGATCTTGGCTGAAAGCAGAGAAGATCAGAGAGGTGTTTGTCTGTGCTTTATGAACTCTACTGTATGGATCATAACACGTTATGGAAAAGATTGTGACTAGCGGGAATTCAAGCACACCTAATTGTGCTCCTGCAGAACCTGTCCACAGACAAAGAGGCAGCTGTTCACCTAGAACAAGAGGATACCCCATGGTTTAAAATCAGGAAGAGCATGCAGTGGGGTGGGGTGGCAGTTAGATTGTATGTCAACTTGACCCTGTGTGAACGGGTACGGGTGGAGTCCAACCTGTCAATCGGGTCAGAGCCTGGTGATGCCTTCCTGGGGGGTGTGGTCTTTTTAGAGGAGAGATAAGGGCAACTTCTCCTTCCTCTCTGGCACTTCACCTTCCTCCTCACCGAGGTGGGGATGTCCTTGGTACTCTATGTCTGCCTTTAGGGGTGGCCCCACGGGGACTGCTGACCTGGAGAGCTGTTGGCACCCCGCCATGGTTCCTCAGATTTGGGATCCTTGTGATTCTGCACCCACCCCTCGCTTCCTCCTTCACTGTTCTGCATCAACAGCCTGTAGTGACAGGAGTCTGACGAGAGCCCTGGCTGGCATTTGACCCATGGACTTGAGTTGGAATGGGCCAGTGTCCTTCTTGATTTAAAGTTCCTTCTTAGACATAGGTGAGTGCCACTGGTTTTGCGTCTCGAGGCAACCCAGCCTAACATAGGTTGTATCTGTTCCCTAGACGTGTTCATTCTCTATCCTGAGAAAGTAGGAATCCAAGAAACTAGACTGCACGGAGCAGGAGGCAACATCAGAACTGAAGTAAGAGTTAATTAACAACATGTGCTTTGCAGACGACACACACAACATTGCTTACTGAAAGTGAAGAGGACTTGCAGCCCTTCCTGAGGACAATCAAAGAGTACGTGGATGACATGTCAACCCACAGAAACCAAAAATCCTCCCAAAGGCATCAACAAACACCATCGTGATAAATGGAGGAATAACTAAAGCTGCTAAGAACTTTGCTCTACTTGGATCTACAATCAATGCTCCTGACAGCAGCGGCCAAGAAGTCCAACCACACACTGCAATGGGCAAACCGATTGCAAACAGCCTCTTTAAAATGTTAGAAAACAGAGATGCCATTTGAAGGATCAAGGTGTGTCTGACCTAGACCGGGGTCATTTGGATGAGCTTATGTGCATGTGAAAGGTGGACAGTGATGGGCTAAGAATGACTGACGTGTTTTAAAAATGGTGTTGGAGAAGACTATTAAACATTCCATGGAGTTCCAGAAAGACTGAATTCATCTGTCTGGGAAGAAGTACAGCCAAAATGCTCCTTATAAATGAGGATGGGGAGACCTTGACGCACGTCATTTGGGCATGTCATCAGGAGGGGCCGGTTCCTGATGAAGGACATCACACTTGGTAAGGTAGAGACAATGGAAAAGAGGACGACCCTCAACAAGATTGATTATACAATACTGCAAAGTGGGCTCAAACAGAGGACGGCAGAGGACCGGGTGCTGGTTTATTTTGCTGTACACAGGTTTTCGGAATTGGAACCACCACTTTGGCAGCATTTAAAAGCATTAACAACATAACTGTGCACATCAAAATCTCAAAGGAACCACTCAATAATTTCTTTTTCACCTCTAGATCTTCCATGAAAGAAAGGGCCCAAAAGAAGAATAGAACATGGTTAGAAAAAGGCAGAAATAAACAGGAAAAGAATGTAAAATTCCCCAACCAACCCACTGTCATTGAGTGGATTCCAGAGGATTTCCAAGCAAAAACTCATGAAAATTATAAGTAAAACAAACAAAAATATAATCAGAGAATATTATTGAACATACCACTAGCAGAATTTTCAGGCAGATAAACAATGTAAAAGATTTGCAAAACAAAAACTGGCAAGTTTCATGTAATAGAAATAGCCACTCGTAAAGTGTAAGCATCCGATAGAAGCGCTGGTGGAGCGGTGGGGACGCCTTGGGCTGTCATCCGCAAGGCCAGCAGCGGCTGCTCCTCAAAGAAAGATGGGCTTTCTGGTCCTTCTAGTCTCAAACAGGTACAGTCACAGGAGTCCACAGGGGGCAGCTCGACCCTGTCCAACAGGGTCCCAGTGAGTCAGCATCGACTGGATGGCAGTGAGTTTGGTGTTTGTTTGTTTGTTTGTTTATCAGGTTCAGTTAACGTCCACATTTTAACTAACTGAGTATCCTCTTAAGGTCTCAAATGAAATGAGAAACTAGCAGTTCGTATTGTCATTTGGATAGACAAACAGCACAATATAGTAGAGAGAAACAAGGAGTCCTGATGGCATCGTGGTTGTGTATTGAGCTGCTGACCTCAAGGTCAGCAGTTCAAAACCACCATCTGCTCCTCTGGAGAAAGACATGACTTCGACTTGGGTAAACAGTCTCAGAAACTCAACAGGACAGCTCTCCTCTGTTCTACAAGGTCACCATGCATCAGAATGGACATGACGGCGGTGAGAAAATGGGGAGAAAACACAGCAAACCGATGTACATGCGGAGGGTCCATAGTATAAATCGGTAGGAAAATAATGAACGGTTGAGTACTAGTATAAATAGCTAAGACGCTGAGCTGCTAACTGAAAGATTGGAGGTTGGGGGTTGGAGGTTAGAGGTTGGCATTTACTCAGAGGTCATCTATTTCCCCAAATTCAGCCATTGAAATCCCAGTGGAGTGCAATTCTACTCTGACTGACGTGAGGGTCTTCATGCGTTGGGACCGACCAAGGCAATGAGTTCTGGTTTACTTCATAACAGTGGTTAGGACAATTGGATCCCTAAATGGGGAAAAAGAAATGTATCAAAATAAACTACTAAATATAAAAATAAAGGATAATGAAAGTAAATGTCAAACGCAAGAATCAGAGGAACTTAAATGTAAGCTTTTAAGAAAATGTGGGGAAATACATTAAAGACTTGAAAAAGTTTCTTAAGCAAAAATGAAGGAATATTTCTTTGAATAAATTGAGATTTTAAATTCCATACAGTAAAAGACACCGCAAACAAGGCTTAAGAGTGAGCAGTAGAATTAGAGGTTCTTCTGCATAGAGCTTCTCAGGAAACCCACACACAGAATCCACAGAAATAAACAATCGGCAAAGGATTGGAACCAGCAAATTATGGAGGAAGAAGCCAGATGGTAGAAATTACGAGGAAACACTGTATTTCACAGGTCATCAGGGAAATCAAATTAGATTACAAATACATATTATTTTATGATGATCACATTGACAAAAATTAAAAATTTGACAATATCAAGTGTTGGTAAAATGTGTGTAACCAGAAGACTTTATACCACCAGCACACATGCGAGTGGCTTCCACTCTTTTGGAAACTGTAGTTGACATTGTTTAAAGGTTACCCAAGGTCTACCTATGTGATGGACTTGCTTTAACATGGCTAAAAACAACCGTCCGTATTCAGTAAAAGAAAGGTCCATGACTGGTGTGGTGGCTACCTGAATGTCATTCCCTCCACTCACTGAAGTATCACTCTAAAAGGTTCAGTATTTTACCAACTAAAGTGGGCCAAGAGGCAACAGGCCTAGAATGCACTAGGGCAGTGGTTCTCAAGCGTCCTCATGCCACGACCCTTTAATACAGTTCCTCATGTGGTGGTGACCCCCCAACCCTAAAATTATTTTCCTTGCTACTTCATCATTGTCATTTTGCTACTGTGATGAATTGTCATGTGAATAGCTCATCTGCGGGCTGTATTTTCATTGTTACAAATTGAAGCATAGTGATGAATCACAAAACAATATGTAATTATATATTGTGAAATATTTATGCGTTTTTCGATGGTCTTAGGTGACCCCTGTGAAAGGGTCGTTGACCCTCAAAGGGGTCACGACTCACAGGTGGAGAACAGCTGCCCTAGAGAGAACAGTGGACCAGGAGTCGGAAGGGCTTGTCCTTGCCACTAGGTGTCCAAACTTCTACAAGCTCTGCAACGTGCTTGGGTGTCACTTGCCCCAGGAGTGGTTTGGACAGAATTTGAAGTAGTTCTTTCCATCAGAACCACCCATGGGCATTTTGAAGCCCAGATGTCTTCAGATAAGTGCCTCACGGAGAGAACTTATCTGCACTGTCGACTGATCCCAGAGACACGATTAAACGTGTTTTGTTTGAAATAACCCCCCACACACATGCATGAACTAGAACTCTAGTTGCGATACTTTTCTACGTATCCTCATTTGTTTGCTTATTGTGGGGATTCGCGGCTTTTACACCTTTGCATTTTACAGGTGTTGTGTTTATTTTTGTTTTGCTCCTGCCCCCCCTTCTGAATTCATGATACCATCCTAATTTTAGCTAGCCGGTTCTAATTGTAGCATTGTAAAAATTGCTTGAAGTAAGCTTTACTTTCTTTTTTTTAATGTTAAAATTTCTCATTGGGCCTCGAAATATCTGTAGCTATGTAACTATCAGTTTTTATGTAGTTTAGGGTAAGACCCCAATTTTCTTTTTCATGTTAACTCTGGTAATTGTGCAGGGTATTCTATGAACATAGTTCCTCATCCACCTCTGGAATTTGGTGCCATCTGTAAAGCAGAGAAGGATCCCTGGTGGCATAGTGGGGATGCAGTGGGTTACTAACTGTAAGGCGGGCACCTCAAAACACTCAGCTGCTCCTCGGGAGAAAGATGGGGCTTTCTACTCCTATAAAGATGCACAGTCTCTGTCCACGGGATCGAACAACAGAATTGTATGCAAATGGATATATTGGATTGTGTAAGAGATGGCAAAAAAAAAACCCACCAAAAAAACCCTCAACAACCTACTAGGTTCCTGGTGGGTAGTGTGGGGGAGGGAGGGGATAAAGGGGAGCGGATATCAAGAAATTCAAGAAGATAGAAAATGTTTTGAAACGGGTTGTGGTAGCAATGGTACAAGCTGCTTGATGTGATTGACCTATGGAATGTTATGATAGCTCCCAATCAAATGATTTTTTTAAAATGTGTAGTCTCTGAAACTCACGACACAGCAGTTTTACCCTGTCCTATAGGGCTGCTGCGAGTCTGTTTTGGATAAAGTAAAAGGCAAAGACTTAAGGGTGTTTATTCTTCAAGCAGGACCCGAGACACCATCTTCACTTCTAGCTCATGCCCGTTCTCTGGGTGGAAGAATTCAAGAGGACAAACACGTCAGATGTGGATACAACCCAGGTCTTCAGGGAGAAATTTCCCATTGAGAGGAGAGATCTGGATTACAAACATAGCCATCTATAAAACGCATCTGGAGAATGAAGACCTCGACATACTTTGAAAGGGTGGAATTTGCGATCTCAAGCGACACAGAACAGATAAGCAGGGTGTATTGACGGAGTGACCAAGTGGTGGATTTTCATGACTGACTCATCTACTTCATTGATAGCAGGTTCTGTGGTTGGGTGTCAATCCTGATTAAGGAGTTTGCTGGGTGGGTCAGCGATACGGACGTGGCCTTTTCCAAACTGGTGCCCCAGACCAGGTTGCCACACCTTCACGCCGCTATAAAGGGCTGACGCTGCACTGAGCGCCCTCACTTGGTCCGGCTTGTTCGTCCTCCCTGCGGGCAAAATGGAAACCCTTGTGAGTACTTGTTTACACTTCTTTATGCTCTGGTGGTGACTGCTTGCAGGGAATGTATGCCTTGAATTTCAGGGATCAGAGACAAACACTATGAGGGCTTCCATGGGTAAACTAAAAACCAAAAAGTCTGTGACTGAGTGAATGATGTCTTTGGTAGGCCTAGGGTTAAAAATTAAGTTGAAGATTTACTTGTCCAATGCCTATTTTTGGAGGTGCTTACTAAAAAAAGCAACAAAAATAATGGGAAATAACCAATAACCAAGAAGTAAAACAAAACACACCTGAAAAAGCCAAACCAAACTCATGGTTACTGAGTGGATGCTGACTCTTAGTGACATTATAGGACAGGGTAAAACTGTCCCTGTGAGTTTCTGAGCCTGTAACTGTTTGCAGGAATGGAGAGCCCATTCTTTCTTGTGGAGGGCTGCTGGTGGTTTCAAACTGCCGACCCTGTGGATGGCAACCCAATATATAACCACTATGCCACTCGGGCTCCTAATTGGAAATGACTAGGGGATTTTAATGGCAATCCATGATGCGGAACTTGGGCCTTTCAGCAGAACTTCATTGACTGTACAAAAGATAAGTGGTAACTAGAAAATAATAATACCGATAATGATAGTCATCCTAATAGTAGCTGTCATTTCCCAAGGGCATTTTAGGCATTTCATATGCATGACATCATCTAGTTGCTGAAACAACATGTTCAGCTGCCTAGCATGGCTCCTCATTTCACATCTGAGGAGTCTGAGGTACAAAGGAACATGATTTCCAAGCCAGTAAATGTGAAATGCTGGTCTGAAATGCACCCATCCTTGGGCCTACCTAGAGGCCAACTCTGGCAGCATTGAAGCAACCAGAGGATTTTCAGTGACCACCTCTCTGACCTTAAATCTTCCTGAAGGGCAATCTTCCTGCCGGCACCATTCCATGTCTCCAATTGCTTTACCTGAGCCCAGCCTCCCAGAGCCCCACACTGCAGTGTCTTGCAGATGGGAGAAGATGCCCTGAAATACAGGTCTTTCTCTGCTAGCGGATCCACTCCCCGTTATCAGGATAGAAATGTGAGGGGTGGGATGGAAAGGGAAGGAGAACGGGCCCACTGAGAGTTTTCTCTTGCATCTGACATTTTCCATGATAGTGCAGTAGTCTACAATGTGTAGGAGAGAGAGGCCCAAGCAGAAGTCAGCATGCTGGATTTGTCTCAGCTAATGACCTCAGAACAACCTCAGCGTCACAGCTCACAGGCCGTACCCCAACAATTACCCAACGATATCACACTAGCCTGGGTCGTAGGAGTGCATGGACGTCCACCTTGACCTTCGCTTCACAAGAGAATAATGCCTCCCAAGAATGCCATCCTAGTTTCCCTCAGAAACCCAAGGCGTCTCACACTTGAACATTCATTTTACCTTTGCAGAAAAGTCAGGAGTAAAGAAATTTTACAAGGAGACCGCTTGGCTCTAATAATCCCAACGCGGGGTGAATCCTTCTGAGGTGCCCCTATGGTGAAATGAGTGCCTCCCCAAATGGCCACAGGCATACGAACACGTGACCCTTACAATGCTGGGAAGGATTGGGATTTAGGTGGAGAAT